ATAATACAAGGTTTGATAAACTGACAGTTGTCTCTGTCGCACCGCTCCCTTAGCAGTGGCACCGTGTTGCTTCTTTGCAAATTTACATGGAAACAGTGTACCTTTGGTGTGAAATAGAAGTATAAGCTTTTGTGCAATATGTTTATTTGTGTATGCATATGAAGCATATTTAACTGATGAAAACATAAACTGTTTTTAAATTGGATGTTTACATCAATCTCATAGTAGTCTTATCTTAATTTTGAGTCATTTTGCAGTTTTTATACAGCTAAATAGCACATAAATTGCGTAATTCACGTAGATATATCAATATTACGTTCAACATTTCGTTTAAAATGCCAGATTTCCTGCAAATACATTAGAATTTACAAAAGGAATTTGACTACTAATTGCCTACTTTGCGTACTTTTCTACTACCATTTTCGCAACAAGAGATTTCATTATTCCCCTTTCTCCGTCCTTCGTAAATGCAACCTTTTGTAAGCGAGTGTCAAACCGCAGCGGTCAATAATTATCTAAACTTGTATTATTGAATCATGGGTTGAACTATAGATCTAGCCAGGGTTGTCACTGACTAAAAACAATATTAACCAGCCATTTGAAAAAAATTTACCAAATCTGAAAAAAATCTACTAATAACTTTTTTTTAGCTTTTTTATTAAAAGCTATAGTTGTGTTCTACTTCCATAGAAATTAAAAGTTTTTATTGAGGAACTTTTTATTTTACTATTGATATGGTATTTAAGATCATATTAATGACATCTTCTCGATTTCCTTCAACCAAAATCGAAAGTGATGAAGCAAAGGCAACAACGAAACTTAATCATTTGAAAAAAACTTAACTAGATTTATTATAGACAAATACAGCGACTCAAAAAACCCCTTGGTGATTTTTCTTATATTCACAATGTTGTTCAAGTAATTTTTTTTTTGCTATAGATAACTACAGGGACTGAAAAAACCCCTTTTATTTTATTTTATTATTGTTCAAGTAATTTTTTTTGCTATTTTTGTTTGTTTAAGAATAAATGTCCAGTTTTTTAATCTGAGTTTTTGGGTATTCAGATGGAAGTTTAGTATAACAAACAATGTAGAAAGTAATTTATAATATAACGATAACCACGAGAAATAAAGCGGGCACGAAAAGTTTTATTTGTTTTTCAAACCAAATACTTTAACAAAAATCTACTAAAATGACCGAAAATTTACCTTTTACCAATCCAAATTTTTTCTACCAATTTTGGTAATAATTTACCAAAGTGGCAACCCTGGATCTAGCTGATGATAATCGAGAGGTGAGAAGAAAACGTGCGAGGTGTATACGCAGATTTAGGAATCAATCTAAGAGATGAGTTTTATATCAATCCATCTCGCCGTCGTTGAAAAAAACTTCCTAAATCTGGGTTCTGGTTTCAAGGTCACTGATAAAGATTCCCGCACCCATACTGCAAGCATAATAAAAATTCCGCAGTAAAAATAATCTTGATTTCGAAGTTTTAATCAGAAAATATTGTTGGTCAAATGAGCACCCGGCCATAATGATTCTCTTTCCACAATCCCAGTTTTCTCAGTATATGGGCACTCGGTAGAGCTGTTTCTTTCATAAAAGTATTTTTTTTTTGGGTGCCAAATAACTTGAAAGCTGTCTTCTGTCTTTCGACAGACTAATCGAAAGATCTGCTAACGAGGATGTCTTAGCTTTATTCTGTTTATGTTTTAGCAATATGTTTTCGAAAAATTTTCTTACATCTATAAAATATGGTATTTTCTTTTTAAAACCATAAATACTAAAAATTAAAAAATATTACATTTGAAAAATTAGTTAAATTAAAAAATCGAAAAATAAATTAAATAAGAACATAATTGATACGAAATAACAAAAACACTTTTTTTTAAACAATAAACTCTAAATTTTTATTTAAAAGAAGAAACAAATTTAATTCAAACGAGAAACATATAACTAAAAGAGAAAAAATAAATAAAGTAAATTTCTAAAAATTAAATGAAATTAAAAAAACACGGGATGACGGAAAATCGTTCAGCACTATATTAAAAAAAACTCTTTTTAAAACGAGATCTAAAAATTTAATTTAAAGTAAAATAAAAACAAAAAAAGAAAATTACAAATATAAACAAGTTTTTAAAAAATAAATAAAATTAAACAAATTTTTTTCGTTTGAAAACAGTAAAATCTAAAAATTAAAAGAAAATTAAATTAAAAAATATAAAAATTTAAATTGAAAAATAAGAAACAATATACATGAAATACGCTTTAAAAATTAAATTACATTAAAACTATATATATTTACCTTTTTAAAACAATAAAACTTAAAATTTAAGAGAAATTTAATTTTAAAGAAGAAAAAATTTACTTAAAATAAAAGGAAAAACTAAAATAAATTTCTAAAAATTAAATTAAAAATATTTTTATGTTTAACAAAAGATCTAAAAATTAAAAAAATATTAAATCACAAAAATAAATTAAAGTAAAAAACTAAAAGTACCTAAAATTTTAATGAGACTAATAAACAAATTTTTTTCTTTTTAAAACAAGGATAAAAATTAAAAGAAAATTTTATTGAATAAAGAAAAAAATTCACTTCAAAAATAAATAAAATAAGTTTCTAAAAATTAAACGAAATAAAAAAATATCCAGATCCAACAAAACAATCAGATCCAAAAATTAAAAGAAACTTAAATTAGAAAAAGAAAAATAATTAAAAACAATTTCCTAAAAATTAAAAGAAACTATTTTTTCTCTTTAAAACAATAAAATCTTAAAATTACAAGCAAATTTAATTAAAAAAGAATAACATTACATTTAAAAGAATTTAATTAAATAAAACAAGTTTCTAAAAATTTAATTAAATTGAGAAATATTTTTCGTTTTAAAACAATAAAATTTAAAAATTTTAAGAAAATTGAATTAAAAAGAAAAAAATTAATTTAACCTAGGATGAAAGAGAGAGAACACCGACTGAAAGAAAGAAGGTTGGAGTAATTTGAACTTCGAGGTAGTCCACAGTTATCTGCCTATGAACTCCGCTCTTTCAGCGCTCTTTTTGAAATCATCTATCTACTAAGACAGAAAGGCTTTTGTAGTATACGATACATGAACACTTCATTTAGGTCAAACTGAGCGTTCTCCAGTTACGAAATGAAGAAAAGTACAAATCACTTTCTAACAACTGTTGCAAAAGACCGGATATCTGCTAAGTATCACGATCTGTAAGTCTATTGAAATTTCCTCTTTCTCCCTGCTCGAACTTAATTTATCTGAAAGAAACTTTCTACTTGTATAGTATTTCCTTAGACATTACCTGCGACGCGCATTCTTGTATCGTGCCCATAATGGGTATGAAAACGTCGGTGTGGCAGGATTTGAGTAAGCGAGCCATCAATGGTACGATGCCACTTTTACGCATCAGCTCCTGGCGGGAGAGCGATAGCGACCAAAGTGCACGCGCCATATTCAAACACTCCAGATCGCTTGTGTTGAGTTCTTCACGTGGCGTTTTGAGTATACTTAAAAAGAAAAAAAACAAAATCATTACATACACACATTTCATGCGCAACTAAAAACCTCAACACTTACCGCAAGCTCACATCCAGCATATCCACCAACTTGGGTATACCGTTACAAGTGCGTACATATTTCCTAGCCAAACGTATCTTACACACATTAGCCAACGTTTCAGCAGCCATAGTCTTTAGTTCGAGTGACAGTGCACTCAATATATCTACAATAAGCGGTATGCCACCCAAATCGACAATACTCTTGCATATATCGATATTTAAGGAGATCTCAGAGAGTACGTAAAGCGAGCCGAGGCGACAATGTGAATCATTACATTCGAGTATGTTGACCAACACCTCCAAACCGCCTATGTCCTGTACGGTCATTTGATTGATTTGTATGCGTAAATCGTAGTCGCGCAGGCAACAAAGTGAGACAATGGTGGCCGTTTGATTGCCCGCCTTAATGTATTTAATTAACTTTTGTATATTATAGTAATCAGCGGCTATTTCGGCGGTGCGTGCTATGTCCTTCCAACGTTCCTCTTCCTCCGTCGATGATTCCACCTCTGTTGAGTCAGAGTCTTGAGTGACAATGGTTTTTTTGCTGCCAAAGAAACGTTCTGGACAGCTACCACACGTATCGTTAACGCGCCGACGCGCTTCTTTCTTCTTTTGCTGCTGGTCTTCTTTCTTAACTTTTTGTTGCCGCCGCTGCTCATCAGAGTCGGGTTGTTGTTGCCCCGACTGCCATGCCTCCTCGTGCTGCTGCTTTTCTTGCAAATTTTGTGAAAGCACCTCTTTCAAATGTTTCTGCTGTTCCGGTGTAATGTCTATCATGCGAGCTTTAGCGTCCTGCAGTGATTGGACATTTATCTTTTCTTCCTCATCTTCTATGGTGGACATATTTCCGCTTTGTATTAGGCAGAAAAATAATATATGTAGGTATGTGGTATAAGAAATATGATTTTCTGCATGATAAAAACAAAACAAGGTAAAACCATGATACAAAAAAGAAGGTAGTTTCAATAAACAACTTTTTGATTAAAAAGCAGATTTTTGACAATTGCTCAATTGTGAAAAATTCGAAGCGGCATTACCCAATTGTAAGTTTTTTGGTGTGGGACATTTTATATTCTAAATTTGGGATTATAAAGTAAATAGTTGTATTAATATATACCTTTTAAAACTAATCAATATCTTATTTTGAAAACGTTTAAATTTTAAGCCACACCTTCTGGAAAGTAACATGATCACAGGGTGTATCCCGCAAACCATTTTAAGCTAAACCTTCAGGGATTATATTCTTGCCAAGACCCACAGGCATAAGCCGAAATTGCGTCGCAAGTTTTATGATCGGCTTGGGTAAGGTTTAACCACTTAACCCCCCTTTGTTTTCTTCGCTACTGAATTCTATAAACTGTCAGCTTTCACACAATTTAAAATATACATGTGTATTTAAAAATGTCATGAAAATTGTGTTGCTAGCTTCATGTTGCAAAATGTTTCAAGGAAATGTTGTGGAATTTCACACTTATTTCTTGTTTATTTCTTATTATACTATGCTTAAGAACAAAATATTTTTAAATCGACAAAACATTAATAAGAAAATTTGAAGGATTTTATATATTGGGTATGGTAGCACGAAATGTCACAATCTGCTTAATTGTCAGGTTGTTAATATGGCGACGAAAAAGTGGCAATGGAACTACCTTGTTTTTTATACTATACTATACTATAAAATTTTTTATAATTAAAGTACAGCGAGCCAGAATTCTTCGGACAAGTGATGGCTATGTGTTTCCCGTCAATGGCTCCTACACAATTTGGCATATTCCACATTCTGGAAAAGTCGTCCGCAATGTCTTTATATTGCGCCAAAGTGGGTTCGCTGAGATATACTGGAGACAAAGTGGTCCATATAATCTCGCAGATCTCTAACACAATATTCCGAACAGTGGTTTTTCCCATCTTGTGCATTGAAGCGATGATTTCGAACGACGTTCCATGTGCGAGGTACCTACAAAAAAAATTGTTATTATAATGTAATGAATATCTAGCACTCGCCTTTAACTTACATCAGTGTTATCGCAAGGCGCTCTTCTGGAGAGATTTGTTTCTTGGGTCTTTCCAGAAACGGATTTAGCAACGTTTGCAATAAATCGTACACCGGGCGGTTCATCCTGGTTAAAAGAAAAATCTTGCTGTCGTGGGATTTGCATTTCAAGAACACTTTCCTGAAGTATCCATTCAATTTCCGATCCCTATTTACTGGATGAACCGCCCAGCGCCGTACTCGCCTCGATTCTTGCCGTTTCTGTTGAAGACGGCAAATATTTAAAAATGCCAAATCGAGGAAGTCTTCTTCTATTTGTCCATCAGGCCACATGGTGTATTAATCAAGAAAACACCTGTAGGAGTATGTTTAATTATTATTAAGTGTACTTAATTTGCCAAATTAGTTACTTACTCTTTGAACAACTTTTCCTGTCAGAAAACAAATTAATTAATAAATCGATATTTCGCAAACAGCTGATTTTGAAGTATAATGTGCGATATGCGGAGTATAACCACTCCCCTGTTTCACATGCGCTGCTTGATTATGCCCTGCCTTGCTATGTTAGTATAACCAGCGCTTAAAACCATGGTACAATAAAAACCATGGTACAATAAAAACAGGTAGAAGCCAAATTGACATCGAACCTACAAAAGTCAAAGTTTTCGGGAGAGTAAAAATAAAAATGAGCGTGTGTAAGGAAAAATAAAAAATTACATTTCGCTGGTTGACGTTTTTGAGTAAATTTGAAGTTTTGTTTCTATTTATTTATTTTTTTAGTTAAAATTTGTTAATTTGTATGTTGTTTTATGTTTTTAATTTATGAGTTGCAGTGTTGTTGGAGGGACTTTCCGGCATAAGGGTCATAGGAACAGCACTTGGCATCAAACGTGCCTTTCCTGTACCTCCCGGTGCATTTATGAAATCTGCTGCTTTAAAATGTTTAACGCACAGCAAGGCATTTCGCTGCAGCTCTGGCCCACAGCTGCTTTCGCAACGCTCTTTACGCGAAGGACATTGAGGCACGTTAAATGGTATCTGCTTTATATTTAACACCACATAAAAAACAACGCTTCGGTGTTGCATTTTTAACACATACATTAAGTATAAACTGCACAACACTACAAAAATTCAAATGTTAATTAAAATTTGTTATTAACGAACATTCAAAAAAAAAAAAAACAACGATATGACATTCAAAGCGTAACGAAATATAGGAATAAAAGAAAAACAAGTTGAAGTTTAAAGGTTTGGTTCTCATGAGAGCAACGTCATTTTGGCTTCTACCTGTATTTATGTGCCTTGACGTTTGCCAACAATATAATTTTAAAATCAAAACTCAAACTCACACACACATTCTCATTTTCAATCTCAAACAACAAGAATTGTGAACAATTTAATCAAGGCGAATTAATACAAGGTGATAGCAGGAGTACAAAAACAAAAATGTACATGTATTTTGTTTTTGCTTTGGCGGCATCGCCTTGAATTTAATTTTTTTATTTTCAATTTTATATGATTTTAAAATGTTGGCAAACGTCAAAAAAAATCATGGCCGACGAAATGAGAGAATGAATTTACCTTGTAATGCTTTTATCATAATTTTCTGATTTAATTGTGCTATGCTTTGTGCTGGAATTTCCAAAGCTAAAATATTTGTGTGTCAACGTCTATTTTTATGCATTCAATACGGTTGTTATTTACTTCACTTCGATTGGAGCCACGTCGTGCTGTCTTAGAAACGCATTGAGTGTGTATAACTAGCGGGTGGGGATGGAACTATAATAATATTTATTTACTAACGGTGTATAATGGGTAACAACTCGCATTCCTATGCACTAGGAGCATAATACACTAGGCGTATATTCTAATTTCTTGAAATAAATGTCTAGTTATTAGACTTTTTATCAGGTACGAAACAGATATCCTTAAGAAAATGAGGCTACTAGTTTACCTCGGTAATTTGCTAGCCCAAAAATTTTAGAACGTCTTCGGTGCGACATGCACACATTTCTTGAGACATTTCCTTATGTTTCTTATCCTGGCTTTGTTTCCGCTGAGGTGGAATGCTAATCTGGGAATAAATAAATATTATAATAAATATAAATAAATATAATAATAAAATATTTAAATACTTTTTTAATGTGGTTAAATTGAATCATACGCTTTTTTAATTAGTTGGCAAAAGTACATATTTCGCCAGCCAAAACATATATATGTACATATGTATTTATATAGCGTGACGCTACAAGATTCATTTATAAAAACCGTATATGCTAGTGGCCTTATTTAAAAAAAAAATAAAATAGATTTATATAGCTCTGTACAGTGACATTTTTATACAAAATTCGATTTCTTAATTTTTTATGAATTTGGGTAAAATATTAACTTTGTGTGCACTCTTTTCCTGTTTATTACTTTTCAGAATTTTATTTTCTTTCATAGCACTTTGACTGAGTTACACCCAGCAAAAGTCAAAATCTTTTATAAATGTATTTACCTTTTTAAAACGGCATTTAAAGCATATATGTAATACTCCTATATTGGCAGTAAGAGCTAGTACCGTCCGAAAACACTACAGTACAGATATATCAATAAACACGTACGAAAGAAAAGGAACACACACATTTATAAATAAACATATACACAACACATATACAAAACCGGCATTCAAATACACAATACATTGACAAAAACAGTACTAGACTGTCTCGCTTTGATTTCGGAATGCTTACACATTGAGATGTTAGCTTGCTATCAATATAGAAGCACAATTGAGAGAATACAAAGGTTGCGCCGATCTCGGACCGCTATTCCTCTCTTAACGAATTTGACAGAATCGTTGTTTGCATGACGTCACACTGGTGCAACTTGTTTACGTTTTCCTTGCAACATTTTTTCTTCTTCTTCCATTCTTGCTCACGTTTTGGCATTGCTCTCTCGCGATTGCACCAGTGTGACGTCACCCAAAAGTTATTCTCAAAAATCCTCTCTGATCGGCGCAATCTTGTATTCTATCATTCTTGATATAGAAGTATTACATATATGATTTAAAGCCTTCTCACACTTCAGTGATGCTTTTTTATTGTAGGTATTTTTCTGTTGACATCTAAATTTTTATGCGTTTCCTCTGTGAACTTTTTAACTACATTCATAAAAAAATTACTAATTTAGGTTTCTTTTTTCATCTTGGACTGGTACACATGTATGTATGTAAAATAAATTTAAAAACGTCATGTGAATAATATGCACGATGCAGCGAACAAAGGTGGCACCGTAAGACGCATGACTCAATAATACAAGGTTCGATAAACTGACAGTTGTCTCTCTCGCACCGCTCCCTTAGCAGAGGCACCGTGTTAGGGTTAGGTTAGGTTGATGTGGCAGTCGGTTCAATTTACCAACTCACTTAGACCTTTTGAAGGTCCATTGTGGTACCACTGCAGAACACGGGAACCTCGGTGACTATTCTTCAGAGAACCAATTTGAGGCTCTTATAAAGCGTAGAATCGGTTTTATTCCTACGCGTGATAGTTCCGTAAGAGAGCTAAAGAAGGGCCTGCCTAAAAAGCTTGCTCTCCTCTTGGCCAAAGCTGGGCAGCTGCAGAAGAAGTGCTCTACGGTTTCTTCCTCTTCCTCATCTCTGCAACTTCTGCAATATTCGTGGGAGAAAATTCCTAGTCTTGAAGAGTACCTGCCAAATAGCCAGTGACCGGTTACACAAGCCGTGACCTTCGCAATGTCCTCTCTTGAGAGGCACAGCAACTCTTTCGTCTTTTTCTTTTCTATTTGCGGCCAAAGCAGCCTGGTTGTTCTACATGTGCCCTCTAGCCATGACCTGTTGGCCGACCGACCGCTTTTTTGCATGTGTATAATGCAACGTTGGCCTTCCTTACTCTTTCCTCTATATTAGGTTTCCACGTTAGTTTCCTGTCTAATATGAGTCCTAGATACTTAACATTCTCCTTCAAGGATATCTCCACACCCAAAAAGATTAGCGGGGAGACAATGGGAGGCCTGTGTTTCCTTGTGAAGAGAATTGCTTCGGTTTTCTCGGGGTTTACTCCGAGTCCCCTACTCTCTGTTCAGTTCCTAAGCGTGGCCATGTTAGAGCGCAGAATCTCCATTAGGGTATTTGGGTATTTGCCTTTGACGGCAATTGCCAGATCGTCAGCATATGCTGTGACATGGCAACCCCCCCTCTCTAGTGCCACCAGCAGAGAGTTCACCGCCAGATTCCAGAGAAGAGGGGAGAGAACCTCTCCCTGGGGAGTGCCTCTACAGACCTTTCTGCTTATTGTGGTGTTGCCGAGCTTAGCGGTTACCGTCCTGCTGACAAGTATAGACTCGATCAGCACCGCCACATTCTGGTCAACTCCAAGCTCTTCTAAGGCACCCGTTATGGCGCTTGCGTTAATATTGTTGAAGGCGCCTTCTATGTCTACAAAGGCAACCAGAGCGTACTCTTTGTCGAATAAACTTTTTTCCACCAACCCAACGAGCGAGTGCAAGGCGGTTTCCGTGGATTTGCCTTTCGTATAGGCATGCTGCGCTGGGGAGAGCCTACTTGTTGGTATCACGCCCCGTACATAATCATCCACTATCCTCTCTGAAGTCCTTAGGGTTGGTATGAGAGGACCTGCCCGCCTTGGGTATAAATGAGACTTTTGTCTCTCTCCAGCCTAGCGGGATGTAGCCCATGTTAAGACAGCTTCTTATAATAACCACAATGAACGGAGAGATAGTACCCCGTGATTGCTGTAGGTCTACCGAGTGTATTCCATCAAATCCCGGTGACTTGTAAGGACCAAAAGTTTTAATAGCCCATTCAATTTTTTCGTTTGTAATCAGTCGGTTTCCCAGATCAGATAGCCCCCCTTCATTCTGGGGGTCATTAGGTTCCACCGGCTTATTTCCAGGGAAGTGTGTGTCCAGGAGGAGACCTAAAGATTCCTCGCTCGTCGTAGTCCATGAGTTCCCTTGACCCTTAAGATAGCCGAGGTTGCATGGCGACTTTGCGAGAATTCTTCTTAATCTGGCCGCTTCCGTGGTTTCCTCAATTCCCTTGCAGTAACTTTGCCAGGATTTACGTTTCGCACTTCTAACTGCTTTTTTGTATACTTTCAGATCAGCCTTGTAGGCTTCCCAGTCCTCTGCTGCTCTCGTGGCTTTGGCCTTGTTGAACATTGACCTATTAGATTCACGTAACAAGGATAATTGTTTCGACCACCAAGGTGGTTTGCTTTTTCCCCTGTATCGAACAACCGGGCACCCGGCTGACAAAGAACTATTCATGGCTTTAGTAACCTGATTAACCAACCCCTCCAGCTCCACCTGCTTGGCGAGGTCTCGGGGAGGTATCTTTGGCAGTAAAGTCCTTAATTTATTATTGTAAACCCCCCAGTCGGTATTTCTAACATTTCTGAACTCCCTTACTTGGGGGGTCTTAAGATCTATTTCGAATTCAATATAACGATGGTCAGAATACGATTTTTCCTTCAGTACTCTCCATCTCTTGATTTTATGGGCAAACATGTCTGAAGCCAGGGTTATGTCCAAAACTTCCTCTCTACTCTTTGTTATGAAGGTCGGCTCTGAGCCTAAATTCAAGACACTAAGTTTGTTCCCTAGAATGAAGTCTAGTAACGACTCACCTCTAGCATTCGTGTCCGTACTCCCCCACATCAAGTTGTGGGCATTAGCGTCGCAGGAGGCAACCAGTGGTTTGTTCTTGAAGGCTGCTTCCTCGGCCAAGGTCCGAAACCCGTCTGGTGGCACGTCCTTGTCATGGGCCATGTAGGCAGAGGCTACCCAAAAGCTGGTTTTGTCCAGCTCAATGCTTGCCACTACCAGATCGCCGTCACTAAGCTGTGGGAGCAGGAAGATGTTTAAGTTGTTCCTTGCTAATATGCAAGCTCGAGTTTTACCTGCATTTTGTGCGGCAATAAGCTTAAAGCCCTTCATCCCAAGTCCGCAGATTTTATTGCCGTGTATCCACGGTTCCTGGATGAGGGCAACGTCGAGTCCACCGGCAGCCAGGCGGACCTCAAGGTTCGCAGACGCGAGTTTAGAGTGGTGGAGGTTGATCTGGATCAGCTTCATCAGAATCTGTCCGTTTTACCTCCACCATCGTGACATCCACGTCCGCCTCTTCGATCTCCTCACCCTCGGTGTCATCGGCGAGGAGGTCTTCTTCATAGAATAATGGCCCCAATCCGGATAGCCTCTCCGAGTCAGATGAGCATTGGCTGCTGGGCAACCCTTCTTCACCACCGCTGCGCAGGCCGGACTTGTCGCTCTCCTCACTAAGGTCCAACCTCGGCTCGTCGCTGCGGTAGATTCGAATGGTTGCGTCATTGAACCCGAATCTCACCGTCCAATACTTTTGCGCCAGTGGGGCTAGCGATTCGGCGTTGAGGATCAGCAACACCTGCCTTCTATTCTCTACTGGGTCCTCTATCTTCCCTACCCTCCAATTATGACTTGGCAGGTCCTTATTACAGGATCTGAAGATCCGCTCAATTCTTTCAGGCTCGGCGGGTCTGGCCGGAATCCAAACTCGAGCCCTCGGTCTGCTAGGAATGTCTTCCTTGTTGACGGCCTCGAGCTTGGCTCCCGGCCAAACTTCACCTACCTTACTAACGGCCAACCTATAGAGCTGGGCTGACCTATGGTCCTCGCAGGCGATGAGTTTAGCTCTACCCTGATACCATCCGGAATCATGGCAGAGAGGAGGAGGTCCACGATTTTCGTCTAGGACTTGGAGGTAGATTTCGGCAATCGCTTCCTCCACCAACCTCCACTTCTCTTTGGGGATAGTCCCTTCCTCCTCCCCTCTGTCGATGATTGCCAGTACCTCACCGCCTCCCTTCACTACGTCCCTGAAAGTGGGGTATTTATGGCCACCTGTTCTTGGTCTTTTGGTGACCCCACCCCCTGCCTGTTCAGCAGACCGCTGCCTTTTTGGAGCAGCGGCTGCCGGTCTTCCCAAGCTGGCTACTACTCCCCTCGCCCACTCCAGTGACCTAACCTGCTCCTCCGTGAGCTGCTCTGTCGGCAGGTCCCCGATCTTGTTCACGACCCTCATGGCCGCCTTTTTGTCATAATAGGCCTGCTTCGAGGGGCGGACATGTTTAGCCGACCCCCCCAGGCCTGTGTTTGCAACTTTCCTCGAGCTGCTCGGAATGTCGGCAGCATCCTGCCGGGTTATTTTCGAAGCAGGTGCCGAACCCCGCCCTTGGGTTGAGGTGTGTGTGGATTGGGGTCTGACTTCCCTAGGCGGAGCTGACGCTGCAGCTCCAGCCATGAATCGGTTGGAGACCGGTTTGCCCAAGCCTCCACTCCCCCCTCTGCCTCCTATGGTACTCGTACCAGGACCAGCCCTACCGCTTAAGCCCCCTCTAACTCCTGTCACTGGCGGTCCGATAAATGCCCTGCTCGAGGCTGTAGCATTAATTGGAGCCACCCCTGTCGGTTTTTTTGGAGGGCCGTCCTCCTTGTTGTGTTGTTTTTTTTTGTAGTAAATTGCGCTCATAATTTTGGTCCCACGAGTGTCGGACAATGGAGGTCCGCCCGCACAGAGGTCCGTGTGCGCAGGTAAGGCTTGATAGAACCGGAGGTCGCCAGGTATCCGGAGCACTCCGTTCGAGACTGGGCTATTTGTTAATCTGGGTCCCCAGCCAGGCTGAACATCAGCACGGGTCGTCTAACACCTTGTTCCAACCCAGAGCTTTTTTAGAGAGGTTTGCTCCTCCATTACCTCCATAGGCCACGATCAAAAACCATTTCCATATAACTTAGCTATTGAGGAGCTTAAGCACATAGCTCTGATTTCTGATCTTAGCTGGACACCATTCTGACATCGTACAGAACCTAAATTGTAGTGGCCATTACCAGTCGGCACCCTCGTGGAGGGTTCAGCCGGAGGATTTTCGCCGACCGAGGCACCGTGTTGCTTCTTTGCAAATTTAAATGGAAACAGTGTAGCTTTGGTGTGAAATAAAGTACAAGCTTTTGTGCAATATGTTTATTTGTATATGCATATGAAGCATATTAACTGATGAAAACATAAACTGTTTTTAAATTGGATGTTTACATCAATCTCATAGTAGTCTTATTTTAATTTTGAGTCATTTTTCAATTTTTATACAGCTAAATAGCACATAAATTACGTAATTCACGTAGATATATCAATATTACGCTCAACATTTCGTTTAAAATGCCAGATTTCCTGCAAATACATTAGAATTTACAAAAGGAATTTCACTACTAATTGCCTACTGTGCGTACTTTTCTAGTACCATTTTCGCACCAAGAGATTTCATTCTTCCCCTTTCTCCGTCCTTCGTAAATGCAACCTTTTGTAAGGGAGTGTCAAACCGCAGCTGTCAATAATTATCTAACCTTGTATTATTGAATCATGCGTAAGACGTACCGCTAATTTGAATTTGTCGATTTTGATAATTCTGATTTAAAAGTAAACGACGCAGAAGCTTTAAATGCACTGAAATTCACTTATACTTCCACAAAAATTACCGTTTTTTTCAAATTTTCCTTATTAATTCTCATTGTATATCATATATTTTTAGAATTTAGCACAATTAAAAAACCCGTTTATTATCGAAAAATTTATTATTGAGAAAATTTACTGCTCTGGCATTTTCTTTTAACATGCAATTCGGCTTTGTTTACTTTTTGTACAGAAATATCATCGCCACTATGACGGGGCAATCTTATACTCTTTCTTGTCAAATATGCATTTTGATGTAACTGCTATGAAGCTATGAATACTCATTAAAATCGTTCGTAATAAAAGTACATTACATACTTGTAGTCTAAATATATTTTTTAATATGAACTAGCTTTTTTAATTCTAGAAAATATCAATAATCACAAGAATTATAAAAATTTCTCTTCAAAAGATACATTTAAAAGCATCCCTGTTGATGTCAAATTTCAAATAAAAATTTGAATAGAAATTTTGATGCAAACGATTTTCCCCGATATTCATCATACAAATTTCTTTATTCTTTATTTTCTTCCACGCAAATTTACTCATTACTTTAAGTGGCTTTCATCTTTTTATTTTTGTAAAAAATAATATAAACATGTTGCTCTTGCCAGCTGCAATAGCTTCAATAAACTAACAAAAGTGTGAATACCCAGTGCCCAGCTTAGAATAAGAATCCTAGCATTTTGCCTCCCAAATGTTACCGTCTGGCCTCCTCAAGATCCATAATGCCTCCGGAGGTAGTCAACACAATGTAACCAAATTGACGAGAAGGCAGCAAGTTGTTGGTCCACTTCTAACAATTCCAACCAATTTATGCGATTTAATGGGCCTCATGCATAAAAAATGAGTCTAAGGTCAGACTCAATTTTTGCACTAAAGGGGTGATCTCAAGCTCAAGAATTTGTACTGAAAATCGAGTTGGAGCTTAAACTCACATTTAATGCATGAGGTCCAATATCTTTACTGCTACCTTGTGTTGCGTCCAGTAAATAGTGGCCAATTTTTACGAGTGCCTGTGGGCCTCTGCAAGTAGCTGCAGCTGCGGCGGCACGTGATTGTGGCATAACGTTGATGTAAGCGTAAAATAAAAAAAGGTTTGGTAAGGTTTTTCGGGCCGCTGCTTAGGCCACAATCGCAAATGCACCCACATATGCGTACGTACTGTGTAGAGACGTAAATTATAGTTTTCCCCGAGCTCCAGTTTCTTAACGCACTATTATTTCCCTTATTACTTATAATTCTCTGCCAAATAAAAGCAAATCTACCTAATTTTTCCACCGGCAGGCACGAATATGATGTTCAAAACAGAAACAATGACAACGAATTTTACACACATTGTTGTATTTTAGCGCAAACCGATAAGTTTCACAATTATTTTAAATTATTGCCTGGAACATACGCATTTATCGTTATTATTGGAAATGCAAGACTTGCATGCATTTTTAATTTCTTATTTAATGAATTCAAATGAATAAAAACACATTTTTCTAAAATATTTCTCAATTTACATTTTAAAGTTTTTTCTGAAACATGGATGTAACTCTGTGCGGAGAATGAAAGAATTGAAAATCAAGTGATCTCAGCATGATTCAATAATACAAGGTTCGATAAACTGACAGTTGTCTCTCTCGCACCGCTCCCTTAGCAGTGGCACCGTGTTGCTTCTTTGCAAATTTACATGGAAACAGTGTAGCTTTGGTGTGAAATAAAAGTATAGCTTTTGTGCAATATGTTTATATGTATATGCATATGAAGCATATTTAACTGATGAAAACCTAAGCATTGGATGTTTACATCAATCTCATAGTAGTCTTATTTTAATTTTGAGTCATTTTGCAGTTTTTATACGGCTAAATAGCATATAAATTACGTAATTCACGTAGATATATCAATATTACGTTCAACATTTCGTTTAAAATGCCAGATTTCCTGCAAATACATTAGAATTTACGAAAGGAATTTCACTACTAATTGCCTACTTTGCGTACTTTTCTACTACCATTTTCGAAACAAGGGATTGCATTCTTGCCCTTTCTCTGTCCTTCGTAAATGCAACCTTTTGTAAGGGAGTGTCAAACCGCAGCTGTCAATAATTATCTAACCTTGTATTATTGAATCATGTGATCTCAGCTGTTTTCAAATGTAAACAAACAAAATGGCGCTTTCCATACTTATACTCATGGCAAGGCACATAAATACAGGTAGAAGCCAAAATGACGTTGCTCTCATGAGAACCAAACCTTTAAACTTCAACTTGATTTTATTTTATTTCCTATATTTCGTTACGCTTAAAATGTCATGTCGTTTGTTTTTTTTGAATGTTCGTTAAAAACAAATTTTAATTAACATTTGCATTATTGTAGTGTTGTGCGGTTTATACTTAGTGTATGTGTTAAAAATGCA